GAATAAAACTGCAACTAATGAGTGTCAGATATTGCTTATAACTCCACTCTGTAAAAACAATAACTCTTTGTTACATTTTCCAGACAAGGAACAGTGCTCTAGAGTCGCGGAATAAGGAGTCGATTACGCAGGTTCGAATCCCATTGTGGGACGTGGAGACCGGTCCTTCGGATGAGACCGTATCATCTGAGGTCCCGTATCGAAGTCGGTGCAGGCATAAAAAGATCCCTCAGTGCTCAATGTGTGCCGAGTAAATGTTAATATGTAGCTTTCCACCGGCAGGCTTCAGTGGTGGCGTCTTCATGTGAGTGAAAAATTCTCAAGAGGGACCTTTAACAACATACAAACATTTACCAGAATATACAGTCATCACAGATATACCCGTCATTCGAAGAGAATACTAAAGCTTGTGATTTCAAATATGGTGGTATAGTGGTAGTAAAATTAGGCTTCTGTACATTAGCTATGTTTTCACAAGACTTTGATAAAAAGTTTGCATATTTTAAAATATGAAAAATAACTTCTTTATATTACAGAGCCGTTGAAATCAATGCATTTAGCTGAGGGAAGTTTGATGCTAATGAATACCATATACATGTATAAACCTGTAAGCTTCTGGCTGTATGCAATTTTAATTGTTTTAAAGTAAAAATACCCTCCATAGTGGAATCCTTATTTTAAAACTAGATGCGAATGAACAATGAAATAAAGATAAATAATGGAAGTAATTTATTTACACGTCGGTCTTCTTGACAAAAGTGTCAATATATCTACCCACAGGACTCTAAATATTAGACCAACAGGATGTCCAATTTTGTTTACCAACGGATAGCAATGTACTTTAAAATGATGGTCTCCCACACTGCTTCTAAATTTCTCATCTTTCCATCCTTTCTTCGTTTGCAGGATCGTGCCGAGACAATACTGAGCCTTAAGCCACTTAAGACGGGTGTATTAACTGGTTATTTACCATAACAATAAAGTTTATTTAATAATAAATTGAACGACACATTGTTATCATTCATGTCAAAGGATGTCTCCTTATGATTCACTGTTCATATATCTACCGATGTTCTTGATCATCTACTCATTTTGTGGTATGAAGTCAGGGGCGTAGCAACGGGGGGGGGGGGGGGGGGGCCTTGCCCCCTTTTTTTCCCAACCTTACTTATACTATAGGAAATGTTAATGGAAAGCCTTGTTGCCCCCCCCCACCCCCACTTTTAGCGATGTGCCGAAAATGTAGTATTAGAATTGGCACTGAAAGCTGAAAGTACTTGACACTGAGAAAAAATTTACCTACCCCCCCCCTCCCCCCCCCGAAATAGGATTTTTGACTTTGGGCAACTTCCCCCCCCCTTTTTTGTCAACTTTTTCAGGTAAGTAAAAAAAGAAATTTCTCTGGCTGCCCCCCCCCCCCACTCTCAAAAACGATGCTACGCGCCTGGAAGTCATTTATCAATGAAGATGTGGAACTTTTCCTTGATCGTGTTAAATCTAGTAAGGAAATGTATAATTCTCTTGAAAAGAGAAAGATAGATAAAGTGGATAAAGTACGGAGATAACGAACAGTATTCAAGCTTAGTAGTCCATCGAAACGATGCAAAATGAGAGCAGCGCAATCACGGACCTCTGTAAAAATATCAGAGGTTGGATCAGGTGCCATGGAGGTGCACTTGTTTGTAACCTTGTCCCCACGATCCTGAGTAACAATTAAAAATATATATATACAATGATTCATAAATGTGCATGGAACGAACGTTCATGGTTATCACCAAAAATTACAATCTTAAATTTTGACAGCCTATATCAAGGGAACTTGGCTGTCAATCATTTTTTTAAGAAATGTAGACTTGGCTTAATGACGTCTTTAAATTAGTATGACTTTTTTGGTTGTTTTTAACAATAACGATGTGGTTTTATATCATTTCAAGTTCAAGGTAGAAAACATATTTTATCTAATTATCTTGGACTTTTGAGATAATTTTCAGACTTAGATCACTATAATCTCAGTGTATATAAATGAGGTGAATGAAAACAGAGAGAGAGAGAGAGAGAGAGACCGTTTTGACCTATCAAAAGCTCTTAAAAAGCTGCATGGAAACTGGTAGCTGCAGATCTGTAGCTCTCCGAAAAAATATATATTGATAGACCGGAGAGCTACAGTGCCACCCATTGAAAAAACTGTATATTTATTGCGCACAAAAAAGTGCGCTCGATTCTTGATTAATTCTTCCAAATTCTTACCTCAATTGCAAAAAATGGAAGATTTAAAAAATTTCCTCTCTCCTCTATCAAGTTCTCTCGTAACATTTGAACGAAGAGAGAGAGAGAGATAAATAAGCAAAATGTTCGATGATTGCAATATCAGGGCCAGGAGGACTATTAACAACATTTATTTTATGAGGAATGTTTTGTTGTGGAAAGAGTCAAAGAATATGTTAGGAACACACGGTTAGTAATATTTTGAGATTACAGTTTTAAAAACATGGAGAAATAAATCGAGAACCGAGCGCATTTTTTTTGTGCACAATAAATATACAGTTTTTTCAATGGACTTCCGGTCTATCAATATATATTTTTTCAGAGCTTAAAAAAAATCCATTGGTTGATTAGGATAATATTCGAAAGACACAAAATCTTTCAAATTCTCAGCATGACTTTTTGTTGCAAGCAAAGTTTATGGTTTTCTAAATATACATGTATGTAACTGTTTAACATATCCGTCAGTGTACGTATATTACTTAATATAACAATGTTTTTAAAGACACTAATCTCACCTTGGATCTAGTCATAGAAAGATAGAATTTCATAATTTCAATTACCCCTGCAATCAATTTAACTGAAACTTCTGTCTGACAAATGTCCAAATATTATTTTTTTTCAATAAGGGAAAGGAAACCTATCTATCATTTGAATGTCAAGTTTGAGGTTTTTGAAATCTGATCACCTTGAAAAAATATCTCAAATTGAACGACGAATAATTATATCTCTCACAGGAAAATAATGAGCGTTAAAACAGATGAAACGATAAAATTCAATCCGTGCACTTCAAACTTTTATAGGTTTGTTGGTAATTGATTGTGTGCCATACATTTTAAAACATAATCATTCAGAACAGTGCATATACAAAAAAATTGTAGTAAATGTGTTTGGTTCCTTTCGGTTACACTCGGTAAATACGCACTGAGTAGTTAATATCTCCAATTAAAATGATTTTCTTAAGTTCATCCAAAGTATTTTAATTTTGATTTTAACATTTGACGCCCGCGTGGCGCAGTGGTTAGATGTTTGCTTTACAATATATAGAATCGCGGAGTAAGGAGTTAATCCTTCCGTTGCGGGATCGAATCCCAGTGCAGGACGTCTTGCAGATGGTGCCGAAATGAGAAAAAAGATCCCTCACTCAGAAGCCTTAAGTTCGAGTACGGGACTTAAAGCTGAACACAATTCCTAAAAGGAATATGTTCGCCATATTCCTTTATTTACTCGCTTTGTATGAGGGCCCCTATGTAAGACGCTCACTTCGTCACTGTTCTGTGTAATCCTTTGTCATGTGTATAGAGAGACGGATGTATGCTATATAGCTCTCGGTATAGCGTCAAAAAATTACTGGGTACTTCTTCCAAGACAAGAAAGAAAAATACCAAATTTACAACAGTTGCACAGGTCAGTGAAGTATGCAAACAAACACAAATACACGTAACATTTACTGCAATAAAATAAATGAAACTCTTGAATATGAATCAAGCTATAGAATAATACTAATACTGCAGATCACCAAATTTTCGCGTGGTATGTATTTAGCATCTATAAGATAAAATTTTCACAAAGTCCGGTTATTGCTGTATATTAGCTATGCCAATAAAATTATTCTCGAAAACAAAATTTTCGCGAAAAACACACATGTAGACTCGTTTAATTACGCAAAACTCAAGTTTGTGATTATAAGTATTCGTTGGATTCAATTTAGAACATCAATACTGCTCAAGAAGAAATCAGCTATTGACATTCCAAGATCTTCGATATCCTTACAATTAAAATTCGTCGATAAGAAAAAAAATGAAAAGACAGAAAGAAGCAACAAAATACTACATGTACATCTTCCTTCAAAAATACTGAAAGGAATATAAGGAAAGCACCTCTACTTCCTCAAAAATAATGTTGGTATATCATAGGATCTTTATTGAGTTCTTGCAAAAAAATGAAAAAAAAAACCCATTTCTACTTTCTTTAATTTTTTTAATCGCGGATTTGAAGTACAGTCAAGGAATCTAGCACGTCCAATGTGATATTATGTCTAAAATACACGTATGTCAGTACATTTGTACATGTATGACATTTAGTAATGATCATTCGGGATAAAGATTTTCATGCAAAAAAAGTTTGCCTAGTTAAAAAAGGCATGTTCATTAATAAGATCATGTCCAACCTTATAATACTGGAATTATTTTTTATAATTGTTAATGAATTTTATACCACAAGGATATACCGGGTATTTAATTTGCTGGCTACTACCAGGATTGTTTATACTCTGTAGATATGTCTGGTTGTGTCCCTCCCAGTGGTGCATAGACATCATTATGTATAGATCAAGTCCATTCTCCCTATTATCCATAAACCACCAGGTTGAAATTTATATAATATCCAATGGAATTTCCAAATCCAGACGTCCATTAAATTGAGTGCCTGAAATGTGTATCAGGGGAGCTAATTAACCTTCCTGTAAACCATGATTGATTAGAGTTAGAATTCTGTGTACTCAAAATATCGATCCTATTCAGCTAATTTGAGTTTTAAAAGACAATTGCGTGAGCACGTACAATAATTTTCGAGAAAGCAATGTATAACAGGCTTCGTGGCTAAGGATATAGTCTTACGGGGCAAGAGAGATTACTTGAGTTTTAGTACAAAGTTTTAGTGATCCTAGGCCTTGCTGATATATCAGGATTGTGCGAAAAAAGGCATGCAGTATTTTAATTTATAAAAAGAAAAACAAAACAAAAGGAAAGGAAAACATAGATATGCACTTATACCCGGGTATGTTGCTTAAAACAATGCAAAACAAGAGGCCCAGGGACCACATCGCTCAACTGAGTCTGTAGTTAGGAAAAAAGCAAAAATCAGTTTAGAAGAGTTTTCAAGATTTTCCCTATACATTCCTATGTAAAAATTTGATGAGCCATTGTGGCCCCGCCCTACCCCTGGGGGTCATTATTGAACAAACTCGAATCTGCACTACCTGAGGATGCTTCCAAATAAGTTTCATCTTTCCTGGCCCTGTGGTTCTTGAGAAGATTTTTAAAAGATGCCATTAATTTTTCGCTAATTCATAATAATCTCCCCTTGAATAAGGGCGTGGCCCTTCATATGAAAAAACTTGAATCCTCTTCACCCAAGGATACTACGTGGCAATGGCTGAAATTTGCCCAGTGGTCCTTGAGAAGAAGATGAAAATGTGAAAAGTTTACGACGACAACAGACAACGGACAAATTTTGATCAGAAAAGCTCACTTAAGCCTTCGACTCAGGTGACCTAAAAATGACAAAATTGAGAAATAAAGGAAATTATCCACAAGAGAAGGATAAGCACATCAGATAATTATACCTGATATACTACTACATGTATTTATTGTAAACATCAAAGGTAAAGTGGTGTGTACGTTAGACAGTAAATGATCCCTGGCGTAAGCTGTTACTGTAACCAATATCAAAAGCGCTTCCGTGTCAGTACCACTGCCAAAATCAGACGAGGAAGCTCAAAAATAGCTTTCTGTCAGAGAACAGTTACCCTTAAACAATCTCATTTATTTTTATTTCTCATGTTTGTTTGATATTTATGCCAAGTTTAAGATACGGAAGAAATTTTAAACTTTCTTCTGATGAGTTATGCTTTAATATATAATTTTAGTCCTCCATTGTTTTGTAATGATTCAAAGCAGGAAGATTATTTCTCTTTTTTTTCAAAATCTAAAACAATGTAAATAAAAATTGAAATGCTTTTTCTCTGTTAAAAGAAAATTAAAGAAACCATCAATTAAGTATTCCAATTGAAATGTTGTTTTGATTTCTCGTTAAATTTCTCGTTGAATGGATGGAAGAAGTTCCTTAAGCATTTCATCAAGTATTCTGGCGGATGTGTTTTAAGCTTGCTGTCCATAAAACAATGAGGTCGTCCTTGACATTCGCGCTTTTTGATGCATAAAGTATCACGTGATGTATTATAATAAAAATGTTCCGATGAGATCAAATTTCTAAGATTTAAGAATTTCTCCACTTTTTTCAGCTCTTGTAAAGGATTCTTATAAAGCTTATCACCGTTAACAAACTGAATTTGGTCCAGTTTGAAATATTTTAACCAATTATCCAAAAACTTCACATAAATGCTCGTCTGTATAAAATCACGTGACATTTCCAGGAAATCGGTATCATTGTTCCAAAAGAAGGCTTCCATGAAAGACAGTTTGGTTTTATTTCTTTCACATTGTGAGATATAATCTAGCAGAGTCCGCAGCACCGGGTTTCGAACCACTACAATTAGACGAATGTTCGGAAACTGGTGGTGTATCCTGTGGGGAACCTCTCCGTGTACAAAGTAGCCACGGGTTCTCTCAATCGTCACTTGATTCTCTAAACAAACCGGCATCTGTCTTCTGAAAGAAAGATTGGTAAACAAGGAATTCGATCTTGGCATTTTGATTTGAGAATTAACTGATCATTAATGAAGTCTGAACAAGAACAATTCAGATCTGAGGATTACTAAGCATCACGTATTTCTCGTTTGTAACATTGTCGGAACCGGGGCTGGAAGGAAATGTGTACCCCCCCATTTTTTCTTCAATATAAACTAAGTATTGACCCCCACCCACGATAATAGGATTTTCGTTTTTGGACAAAAAACATTTCCATTTATATCTTTTCTTTTTTATATTTTGTTTTGGAGTTCTAAAAATTTTTTTTCTTACACTTAGCCCCCCCAACTTTTAATTTGCTTTCGACGCCAATGTGTAATGCATCCAATGGTCTCGATCACAAGTATATTTTAATAACTTTGACCTTTGGCTATTGACCTTAGAGTAAGCAACAGCAACTAGAATGATAAGATCATCTTTTCGTGGTGACCTATGGTAAAAGTTTGAAAATCAGTAAGATATCTAATTGCATGTATTGAGATCCTAGTTGAGACAATTCGAATAGTTAAGGTTCACGTAGCTGACTTCTGGCTTTGGAGATATTGGCCAAACCTTGACTAGAATAACCATGGCTTTTGTAAAAATAGTCTAAGACAAAACTCATCAGCTAGTATTTTTAATTTACATGCGAGCTATGTTAGACAAATGTACATGTATAACTTAAATATGGATCGTACTTGTGCAAACTTACACATAGACCATAAATACATGTACATTGTACCTAGCAAAACTGTCTAAACTCTCAAGCATATTCTAATATGACAGTATCTTACCTATACCATTCCAGTCCTTTGTGGTAATTTCTTGTAAAATAGTGAATTTCGTTTGCAGGCGCACAGATATCTGGGTGTATTTTGAGGAACTCTAACACCGTCTTTGTACCTGACTTCTTAACACCTATAATTAACGCATCTGGTAATCTCTTCATTGGGCGTGAGGTCACTATTTGTAATTGGTCGTCCGCCACGACATCGTTTAGTTCATCGTCAAGGTAAATGATATCACCGTCTTCCCGTTGTGGTTGATTTTCGTGCAAAAGACGATATTTGGACTTTAATCCGAAATAAAAGAATCTCTCATTCTCATTGATATTTGTGTTTTCTTGGAAGAGTGGTTCTTTTTCCGATACAAACATATAAATTCCGAGGATAAGCAATAATGAAACCCAAAACGTAACAATCACTTTTTGCAATAATTTTCGCGGCCTAATTCTTCGTATAACATTGGGAACCATCATCCAAATGAACCATGATGCACAATCTTCAAATTTTGTAAAATCTTCAAAATTCTAATATTGTAAAAAATATACTTCGGCTTCGTTATCAGGCATTCGCACACATGTTGGTGTATACAAACATAGCAGAACAGTGGATAGGATCCCAAATGAGTACGCAAACAATTACAACGGACGCCAATTTGTCCGAGAGAAATTTTCATTTCTGACGCTGTATATCATAAATGAAAGTGGCATAACCTCAGCGGGGCAAGCAGATCACACAATGCAGACCTATATTATTATATTCCCTAATATCACTCATTACAAATACACTAACATCTCTTCTGTGAAGTGCTGATCAAGAAAGCAAGCTATTAATATGTTCTTGCTGTTTCTTACTCGTAAAACACACTTTAATCAGAATTCTGGTTAGTTAACTTTGATATCTGACAAATAAGATTGAAATTGGCAAAGCCATTTTATTAGAGTATCACAGAGAGGGAAAGTATTACTAAAAACACAGGGACCAAAGTCGTTAAAAATCATTTCAAAGAAAATGGACAATTATGCGATCCGAATTCTAAATTGTGTTTTCCTTTCTTTGCAGTCCAATTAACATCAAATCTGTTTGCTCTTATCTTGGAAAATCAAGTATGCAAGTTCATTTAACCAGATTGCTTATTTTGCTTACTCTGTTGTAAAACTTTCATGTCTCATTTAGCATAAGCGTGTCAAACATCACCTCAACGAAAACAACACCAGACTAAATCTGCAACCAAGTGGCAGAGAATTTTTATAAGAACATCATTGGGGAAAAAGTCTTTAGATTTACACATTTCATATTTTTTATAAATATCTTTTTAAAAATCATCTTAAGACGTTTGTTAACGTTTTATAATGCACGATTCAGATAAGAACACAGAAGGAACCCGGAAAATTCAAAGAAAGATATCAACTGGGTTTATCGTGTCATCAGAGACAGATAAGAACAATGACAGGGAACCTGCGCTGTCTAGTAGTTCTGCTGGGTTTGAGCCAGTACATTGTAGGAGGAATTCCGAACAGACAGGCGCACGTCGTGAACCAGAGAGGGGCGCTGTCGTATGTCGTCAGTCAAGGCTGTCCGTACCTTGTTCAGTAAGTCGACAATACGCCATTTTTAATTCAACATGAAGGAGGAAACGAGCATGATGCTGCTGATACGAAAAATTCTTTTCCTAGTGCGCGTTAAGCGAATGATCAATTGTATTAACAGTGAAAACGCTAATTATACATAAACAATTAAATATACAGTTTTTAAAAATTCATTTATCATAAAACATACATTCTGAGAGTATTGCATCAGCAATACATGTCCTCTACCGGGTTCCCCTTTTCTCTTTAGGATACAAGAGACATGAGATACAAACTCGTTTGGTAAATTAAAAGACTGCATCAAGAACCCGATCGTAATCCCAATATTATGAAAAATTGAAAATGCCATACTTCTGTCAAGAATCAATGACCTGGATCGAAATTCAAACTTTATCTGTAGCTCATCAAGATACGCTTACATACCAAAATTCAGCTCAATATCTGCAACCTTTTACACTGTTTTAGGAAAAAAGTGCGGAAAACCTAGTGAAACAGACTGACAGATGGAAGGACAGTCGGACGGACAGCCAGACGGACAGACTCAGATGAAACCTATAGTCCCCTCCAGAAGACTAATAAGGGAGGGGACAGGGTCAGGCTTCCCTCAGGGTTAGGGGACGTTGGAGAAAAGACGGAAGGGTGGAGATAACGCAGAGGAAAGGGAAAACTTAGAGAACGTGAGGAAACTGGGAACACGGAAAAAGGGGTAGAAAATGGGGTATTTGTATCCAACTAATAACTCAAAATTCTTTCAATAAATTGTAAATTTCTTTAAAGTCATTGAATTAGTTTCGATGATTTTTTATTTATCTATCGATAACACGTACATCTTTCATTTGATGAAGACCATAGTCTAAACATTGTCAAAGGTTTACCAGTACGAAATATTGATATTATTATTATCGAAGATGTAGTTCGAATGTGAAGATTAAGGTAATGGAAGATTTATTTTTTAACTGGAAGATTGGTCTCTCTTTTTCAAAATCCGTTATATTTTTCAGTTATGTCCGCGATAATTATTTTTCCTTCCGCATCTACCGACAAGTTTCGGGGTCCACCACCGCCCCACCCCCTCATCTTAACTGGGTAACGTATGTTTATGACAGAGGTGTGGACAATTATGTTCCAATGGAACTCATTCACGGCATCATCAACTGTAGGATGAACTACGCCTTGTATGCTGTGAACGCGCCCTCCAATATTTTACATCAACTCCATGCTGATTTCTCGGGAATTCCCGGAGTTCTGGGTTTGTTATTCATTTCAATGTAACATTTAGTTTTCATGTTTTCAAATTTCGACCTTGAAATATTAAATGAAATTTGCTAGAAATTCAATAGATTGAAATCATGGATATTTTTCTCACTAAAACCGTGTATAATTAATTTTTCATTTCCATGCGAGGAACTAGAGTTTGGGTGGATCACTTCTAGGAAATTCAGTGTCATGAAAATTATGTTATAATTATAAAGTAACCCAAAACTGCATTAGAAAACCAACACTCTAGGTAAACCGGTTAAGAAATATACTATGTATCTGAAGGAAACCGTCACCCAACAAAACTTTGTCCGGTTTGATGTTGTTTAATTAGGTCTTGTATTTTGCAATTTCTTTTTTTAAATCTTGAAATAGTTCTTGGGAATGGGCGTGGACAACCCTTGGATCTGAACAAAAATTTTGTACCTACACCCGGCTATATGAAAATGTGATAAGCCTGTACAATTTTTTTTTCATTAATAAGACAGTATGATAGGTCGACATCTCTTAATATTAAAACTTATTTAAAATTACCCCACACAGTTTGAAATAATTTTTTTTTCAGGAAAGATAACTTATTTCTACCCTAGACTGACCTTGACAATAAGGTTAACTTCAAAAATACTTTGGAATATTTCTAGAGATCAGTTGAATTTAAAAGCTGCAAATGAACTCATAAAGTGTTTTCTTTATTTCCAGGATAGCGGTTTATTGGCCTCTGTTTGGAAAATGATTGATAACAAAAACAAGTGTTGAGATAAATAAAACATATCAATTTACTTTTTCTTTTTCCATTTTGATTTCTTTTTTACATTGCCTTTCTGACTGTGAGGGATGGATTCCAGAAGTTTATGTTGTAATTTCTGGTCTTTTTTGACAACTTTTACGGCATCTTTCTTCTCTGTAAGAAAAGATCGACCATGATGATCATTTTACGACTTGTGATTTTATGCATTAAAACATGCCATCTGTTTTGATATCAATATTCATAAAACCTGCATATCTTAATCCATGAAATTTGCACTAAATGCAATCATTACTTGCACTCAATTGAATTCCTGACAATGCAACAATTTTTAAAAAGATGCAAGAAGGATATGTTAAAATTATTTCTTTTAAAAATAAAATTCACAATCACAAATTACAAACATTTTCATTTATAAATGTTAAAAAGAAATAATTTTCAAGTGATAGGAGCTGTTACCTTCCTCATTAGACATTTCTAGTTTTCCCGATTGAGTGAGATATTTCCCAGTGAAGGCCTGAGGAGCCAGCCTCTGCTTTAACATCTGATCCAATTCATTCTTCATGCTTTTCAAATCTTGTTTTCTCCCTGACTGTTCAAACGAGTCTCCAAGGTCAGTTAAACTGATCAAAGGTCAAGGCATTCTAATGTCCACTTTGAAGAAACATTAGCATCTGGCTCATTCTTTTTGATAGCCTTTAAAAGACTTTGTTAACTGTGGGCAAATTAAAACAGGGCAAATAACAAGAACCCAATATAATTTCTTAAACAGATCTAAGAATAGGTGAATTTACAAAATTGTTTGCAAGTGTTTAAATGCAAAAAAAGGGGGTGAAAATAACCCTGTTTATCATTTTAATTTCAGAGAATTATGATCTAGAAGGATACAGTTCCTGATCATCTATCAACATGTCCATTTCCTTGGCTGCCTTCTCAAACCATTCATTCTGTCTCTTCTTCTTGTTAAACCTTTAACATATTTTATCTCCTTTTAAATACTCAATTATCAAACATTTTCTTTCATTGAACATTTTCATATTAAAATGACTTCCAAATGTCGAGGTATGGAAAAAAAACAAATCAATTTTACCGATGCTCCTCTACATCAATTCTTTTCGCTAAGTTAAGTCTTTTCTTTAGAGCTGATAGAAGTTGGTATTCCACTGGAAATACTGGAAGATCTTCACCTTTGAAAAACAAAACCAGCAAGGTGATAAATGCTTACAATGATATGAAGTAAAAGCTGATTACAAGAGAATGCCAAGGCTGTGTTCTGTAGAATTTCCACAAATACCCCTGGTTGAAAGTATTACTGGTGGAATGAAGGATTAATGAATAAATTTGTATATCATTGTTTGCTGTACACTTGTGTTACATGTATCGGAAAGGAACAAATGACTGTGTTCTGAACTGCTTTATTTCAACTTTGCTATATTTTGGATATAGGTAGGTTTGGGTGTAACAGAACAGATTTTACAATCAAAAACATATACAAGTGTATCTTACTTCTATTGAGGGTGTGAACAATTTTCCTGTAATTTTTCACATCTTCTGGAGAAATAAGCATTATACTCAGGCCTTCCTTCATGGCACGAGCCGTTCTTCCACTTCTATGGACATAATTCTGAAAATACAATTTTCCAGTGATATTACTACAGGTCAAAGCAAAGACTAAAAAAAATTATGGTTTGGACCGATACTATGGATATGAATTCTGGATAAAAAAAAAAGATATGCATGTAGATATGCCAAATATGACATACATGAATTTGATGCCATACATATCAGAATATGTTTTTCCTCTCATACCAAACATTAATTTATTATTAACTGTATAAATTACAATAATAAACTTGTGTAAAAGAATGAATTATAACTCTTTGTATACAAAAGTCAAGAATAAGAAGAAATGTTAGATCCTCACCTCCACTGTCTGTGGCACCTGGTAGTGGATCACATGTTCTACATTAGGGATGTCCAAACCTCTGGCAGCAACATCAGAAGCCAGCAGTACAGCTTTATCATTGGCTGAAAGTGAACAAAAGAATTTCTTAAAACTGCCTTATAAATTGCAAGACAAACAGGAGAAATAGCTCTTTTATAAAAATTTTCATAATTTACGGTGAAATAAAAATATATGTAGTTTACAAAATGAACACACAAGTATATGTATTTCCTCTTCTTGTTTTTGAGAATTTAAAATTGGCATTGTCCCCTCTTCAAAAATTTGATCTGTATATTGAATTTACCAGTAAATCTCTCCAGGTTTTTCAGTCTCTGCTTCTGATGCATGTCAGCATGTAGGGGTAAAGGGTCTGTTTTAAGGAGAGTGAGAATGGAAACAAGACGTCGAATGCAGTCCTTACTGTTGGCAAAAATCAGTCTACGGCCTGGGTACTGGGTCAGGAAGTAGTACAGAAACAGATCCTGTAAATAAAATTTAGCAAATGAATAGGTACTGGATTAGATAAATTTTTTGTAAATTTCTTTATTAGCAACCATGGCAACACTCTTCATCTACTTCAAAAACTGATAATTGCATCCTTATATAGTGATAGTCACTGGGACAGAAATTACTTGTTATATCCGACAATATATTAAAATCAAATTTATTTAGCTGGGGATCCAAAACTGTATATCCGATGATATCCGACAGTGTTTTGTGAAAAATTTGTTTTATATTAAAATCAGATGGATGGATGGATGGATGGATGGATGACTGACACCTTACCACCACATAGGCTTGATTGACCTCTGGCAGGTGGAGCTAAAAAGTGTCCATTCAGAACAATACTGCGGATATATAAAATGATGTAGTCTCTATGACTGAGTTACCTTCTCCTCCAGAGTACAGTTTATTCTGGCCTCCGTCAATGTCTCCACTGTCCCTATCTTCCTTGTCAGGTCTATCACTTTTGGCTTCTCCCTCATCTGGATCTTACTCATCAGGGCTTCTGGAGGAGAGAAAAAAAAATTATTCATTTATTCAATGGTAGAAAACTTATAACTTTATAGATTAAATAATCAAGAGGACAATTCCACACACCTAGCTTCTTTTCCTCCGTGAGAGTCATTTTCTTACGGACAGAACGTTGAGGCCCTGCATGAACCAAGGTCAAGGTGGCTGAAAATACAAATGTCTGTCTCTTGTGCTTCTTCTTCTCATTTCTACAAATAATCAAGGAGATATTGTCACCATAATATACATCCATGTTTGATTTTTTTTATTTTCATGATTACATGCAATGGATTTACGTATTCTAATTCAATCTACTATTAGGAGAAAATGAAAATTTTGCTATGTTAAATAATTCACAACGAAGGACTTTGTGTTTTTCTCAGTTATATCTTGAAAGTAAATGTTCTGTACCTATTAATAAAAGCCAGAATCTGAGTCAATTCTTCAAAGTGGCCCTTCTCTATCATTCTGTCTGCTTCATCTATAACTAGACTGTCCACTTCATCAATGCGAGACAAGTAGGGATCCTTCCAAAAGAAAGAAATCATTCACTGAAAACTACACACAAAATAACAAGTGGTTCAAGCATTTCAAAATTTATCACATTTCCCATATATCATTCGAAAGTAGTGTTTACCAGTAGATTCTGGTAGTGTACATACATAACAGTATAAGCATTTAAATGTCAAAGTTATTAAGATTTTTTCCACAATCCATACAGAGATGGCTCTCTATCACTTCTGAACTATTTCTCACGTTCACCAAAAAATTTCAGGAATTTCAAAGTATCTCTGCACAACAAAGATATATATGTACTGGTATGTAATGAGATAAATGTGAATGGTGTAAACCTGCTCCATGAGTTCCCATAACCTTCCTGGAGTGGCTACCAATATATCTGGACACTTCTTTAAAATCCTTTTTTGTTTCTCAGCTGACATTCCACCAACAATTGGGGCAATCTAGAGAAATAAGTGAAAATCACTAAATTGTCTTGCATTGAAACTTCTTTCAAAACTAATTTTAAATTGTGCAAATGTTCTGATTCCAAAATAATGTGAAATTAACTGACTAAATGTATTAACATAATTGTCATAGACTACACAATAAAACACATAAACTTGAAATTTCATGATACATATTCTAGTATGATGTATATGTTCATACAAATTTGATAATGAAATATGTTCATACTGAAAATCTTCTTACTGTGATATCAGTGAATGCTGCTGCCACCTGTAGGTGATCTTTGACCTGGATAGCCAGCTCTCTGGTTGGCTGGAGGATTAGAGCCAATGGGAACTTATTGCCCTTTCTCAGAGCTGGTCCAGAATTAGGGAATCCAAGTGCAGAGAAGTCAGCATCATCAATCACCTTTACACAACCCAACTCTTCTGTCTGGAAAAAAAATATTGGATTTGAAATTGAAAAGCTAAATACTGCACCATTACAACTTAAAATACTTCAATATTGAAGAAGAAATTGATATGGAATGTTTAAGACTGCATAATATATAATCATTAAACCTGTTCTGAATCCTGATTTTTAGCATAATCCTCTGCATCCTCATCATCTGAAATGTCCTCATCCTCAAACAACACTTCTTCATCTTCATCATCATCATCATCTTCCCCTGAAATGTCATCATCTTCAACTACCTCTTCTACCTTGCTATCATCATCAGGTGAAATTTCTTCATCCTCATCTGATCCAGATGACTTTTCATTCCCTTCATCATCATCATCATCAGTATCAATGTCAACATCAGGGGTCTCTCCTTTTGAAGTGTTACTTTTAGCTTCTTTTTCTTTGCGTACAAGAATGTTGTGAATAACTGGGATTCCAAATGCTAGACTTTTCCCACTCCCCTATTAAATTATACCAACCAAAAAAAATGTAGTTTCAAATTTCAAACTCTCTTTGAAAAGAGAGTAGCTCAATCCTCATTCAATATAGAGAAAAAATTCTTAAAAATGAAAATGAATATTTTACCGTCTCCGCTGCTCCCACTATATCTTTCCTGTCCCTTATGGCACTGGGGAGGGACATGGCTTGGATGGGAGTAGGAGAGAAGAATTTATTTCTATGAAGAGCTTGAAGCACCTTTTTGGGAACAAAGAAATTTTTCCATGCTACCATTTTCTCTGTAAAATATAAGTGAGCTTAGAAAGAAAAGACCTTTGTCACAAATGATGCATTTGAGAAAATAACTGCTTCAAATACAAGCTTAGTCCAATAGGCACTCTAAGATATCACTGTTCTTATGATAAATAGTAATTTTAATTGCTTAAAAAAATCATATACAAAAAATTAGCTAATTTCAAATTCATTGACAGAGAAAAATCAGACAAAATTTATCCATTCAGTTTCATGTGATTGGTGGTTGCCATGTTTTTATACTTAATTACAAGTTTTCCTGGCTGGTAAACTGACTATGAGGCTATGAAAATCAATGAAGTCTTTATAAATACATGTAAGTAGAAATAAGTTACCCATCAGTTCATTATTATCCACAGCTTCTGTTTCCTCTCCATCAGAATCTTTAATCATCTTCATTCTTTTTCTTTCACTTGAGTAACTTTCAACTGTAGAAAATGAATTTTACGACAATAATAAAGTCTTCTTCCTATATACTATAAAACTAAATCTGTCTTTATGTATTTAAAGAAATAATAAATTGTATAGTAAAAGCATGCCTGTTCTTTAATAATTGTTCAATGACATAAGGAAATATATATTCACCAGAGTTTTTATTTTTTATTTTTCTCTTTTTACTTGTTGCCCTTGTCTCTTCAGTACTTTCCTTGGATTCACTTGATTTTATCACCTCATTTTTAAAAGTCTCCTTAGCTTTCTGTGGTTTTTGTTTCTTTTTCTTATTATTGTTTTGTTTTGTGTTGTTGTCTGTATCTGTTGATTGAGATGTCACAGTCCAAGAATCTAGCTTGTTTTGTGTTTTTAACTTTTGTTTCTTTTTCTTAGTTGGTCTTTCTGATGAGCTTTCTGTGACAGAGTGTTTTTTGTTATTTAATTTCATAAGTTCAGATGAAACATCAATTTCACTGACAGAGCTTGTTGTATAGTCTTTTCCAGTTTTGGATGATTTCCCTTTTCTTGATTTCTTCTTTTTCACTGCCTTTTCTTGAATTTTGCTTTCCTTGGTTTCCTTGGTTTTGCCAGACTCCTTAAATGAATGAAATGTAGTTTAGCTATAAAATTAAAATAGTTACACTAATGACTATTCAATGTTTGTTTGTTTATTTCATGTGAATACCTGTATACCTACAGGAAAGGTATACCCATTTACAAATGAATTTAAAGTTATGAATGCTCGAATGAATAAAACCAATCTTACTGAAAGTTAGATATATTATGGACTGTATTTTATTTTAATTTTGGACTCCTGTGACATTTGGCGCCCAAAAAAATAACCAACTGTTCCCTTGGAATATGCTTCAGTATTTCCTTACTCACAGCATGTGCTAAATGTAGCAGTGGACAAGAAAGAAAAACGAGATATAAATCATTCATTTTCTGGTCCCTTAAACTTTGAATAAATGTTCCAACACTACTGTGACTAGGCCTACCTTTTACATATTGCCACTGAATTTGTGTTTAGTGAATCAAATTGACAGAATGCATGCTTACTTTTTTCTGTTATTTTATACATAGGCACTCCCCATCTTAATTGTTAAAAAAAAATATATCTACTAAACTATAAACAGATAAACATAACATTTTATAGTATAGTAGATATATTTTTTTTAGCAATTAAGATGGGGAATGCATGCTTACTTTTTTTTCTGTTATTTCATATACAACACTAAAAGACTTAACACATGAATAAATATCCCATATACAACTTAATCTGCAATTTAATATACAAAGGGAAATACAAGACGTTAACTAAGGAGTACGTCTATGTCAACACATAGAATTACTTCCCTTTAATTTTAAGTTGCGTTTACTTACGTTTTCTTTTGGTTTTATCCTCTTCCTCTTTTTGGGGTCAATTATTTCATAATCTGTTATTACTTTACAGCTGATTAGAGACTCAAAAGCTCTATCAGAAAGCAAATCAGGTGAAATTTCAAAGTTTTTCCAACCAGAATTTAATTTCACGTGTCTGGTGGCCGCCATCTTTACAAGTTAACCTCTATGATTTTTTTTTTTACTTTTAAATGATTAAAGAGGTAAACATGGTAAATAGCAATAGTTATTGAGGGAAAACAAGTATTCATAAATTAAATAAATGGCCAAAAGTAAATTTGGTTTGTTAATTTTAATAAATTAACAGATGCTAACATCAGTGAGCTTTTTTTGGAGATTATAATTTTGTGTTTGACAAAAGAGCGGGAAAGAATGCAATTCAGTTGAAGACCCTAGGTAGGCCTATTTATAAAAGATGTGTATGCCGATTAGTATCATTTAGTAATCTAATGAATAGGCCTACTATTTTTATATATAAAGAAGTAATTAAACGTGTGATGTTCGTCATTTTTTTAATTATCTCGAATTTCCTCGATTTTATTCTCTCTTCTTATTTTTCAGTTTTTCACGTTACACGATGTCACAACTCCAGTTAAATGATGGACATCGTCTGTTTTTACAGTCATTTATGTCTAGAGGAATTCTAAATGCTAAAGAAGTTAAACAGCTGTTCAAGATATGCTGCCTGAAATACAATAGTAAATGGAGTTTTTGTTCCTTCATTCATGAAAAAAACACTTCTTACCAGTTTTAGTCCATTATGCCCTTATGGGCCTTTATGGCACTTAAAATATCAGTCATTTTAAAGCCAAGATATTTTTTAAATAAACAAAGCTCATTTAGCGGACATAAGAAAAGTTTTATACCTGTTACCAGTAGATAAGAATATCTTCAAGTAAGCATTGATGAAACATCTAATATTGCCTTACATATCGATTGGGGTAGACTTTACTTTACTTGTCCCCAGATCCGCAAGATCCTCAAGATTTCGTTTAAACGTCTTAGTCCTTGCATACCATTCGAGAAATTAGGGTTAGTGACTCATTCTTTTAGATATGTTAAGAAATCAATTTTTTCTGTAATTTTTTGAAGGTCATAATTCAGCTTCAACGGCATTTCGTTGGTTTGTTTACATGGAAGAACCCCTAAGTCCGAAAGAAATGACACTAAGCATGCACCGCACGTGCTTCGTTCAGAATATTCTTTGTCGATTTTTTCCATAATTAAACAGATATTTATTATTCTTTTCAGAGAATGAGGTTAAAGAATTCATTTAGAAATTAAGTTTTAAACTAAACTTTTAGCCGTAGATTTCGATCTTGGGGTTAAGAAGACCAAAAACTTCGCATTTTTAATTTTTTCGATTGCTCACGCGATCTCATATATACTGAAGTTGCCTTCAGCGAACCCACGTTTTAGCGCGCTTTTCTGGGGACCGATAAGGTAAAGTTCCATCAATTGTAATGTTCATTTTCATTCCATGTGTTGGCAGTGTTGGATTTTGTCGGGTTTGCTACATATTGCAACAAAATTGCACCAAGGGCATATTCTGACACAGATTATTCTAACTATGCAAGCCAACTTGAATCTAGATCTAACTCATTATGTGTCAAGTTTACTCCATGTTGACTTTTTGATATTTATATTATGCATTTAATTATTATTCTCAAATGACTCCTGATGGGAAGATTCTCTTAGATTTGTGTATTCATAATATTCATTTTCATTTCACAGTACCATATCCAGAAAATGAGAAAGAAGCTCAAGGCCCACTACTGGAGTTTGTAAGAACTGTAAATCACCACATAGGGCCTCTACACATGCAGATACGCAAGGGCATCAGTGAAGATGATGGGACGAGTTCATATGGATTGGTAATCTCATAGACTAGTAAAAAAGGATGAAAAATAGCTCAATTCTATTACAGAAAGAAATGCTTTTTTACACCTTAAGAAAGTACATGTATGTTTTACTAAGAATTAAAAAATTGGTATTTTACTGCTTAGGCATGGTGAATAGATATGATATCTATAATAGGTACCATTATCACTACCGTAATTTACGGAATATAGGTCGATACTTTTTTTCTCAGAACTGCTGGGGTCGCCCAATATTCAGAATTCGACCTATTTAAGGCTCAAGTTTACGAAAAGTACTCCCAAATCAGTTAAATTTACGTCAATTTTAAAGCAAATCTGTGCCCCTTTTGTAAATTTTTTGATTATTTTTCGCAAAAAAATTAATGCCCTGGTAAACAGTAAAATATTTATTCTGAAACTTTCTTACAAAATAAATTCCATAAAATATTCGTTGATGACAAAGGAAAAAAAAACATTGCTTCATCTGTTAAATAATTCCTCAACGTATTATCCATTAACATCATGCGGTATCCATCTTATGAAGTTAGGAAGTCGCGATCGTGTACTAAAAGTAAAACCGCAACCGTATCAAAATTTAAAATACAGAAATTTTTCATGATCACAACTAGTGTTTTTACCATTTATTAGTAGCGATAAATTGAAATAGTATATTAAATATTTTTTATTGTCTTATGTTTATTTAAATGTAAAATGAGTGAAATAATTTGCCATTATTAAAAGCTTCGTATACAAGAAGTACATTGAATTACCGGTGTACAAAGATTGGCTTCTAAAAGAATTTTAATTGTCTGAGAGATAAAGGGATTTACACTGTACGCAAAGGTGTTAACACCTGTGTTGGTGTAAATGCTGGGCATGATTAAGAAACCCAAGTGCCATTATAGGGTATTAGTGTTACACATCATTGAACAAACAAAGCCGTGAAATTCATGTTGACAGTCAAATTGTGAATGAACTCTCAATTAAAGTTATAAATTAAACTTATAAAGTGTTAATATGATTTCAATTCTTTACTGTTGCTTGATATGTACATTTAATGGTCATTTGCGTGTTATAGCCAATCCCTGGAGAAGAAAAATAAGAATGGCGAACATCGAAGTAATTGTCGTCCACCGGTAAATAATGTCTGAATAAAATTTATTAGGAATGTGTCCAAGTTGTTCTGAAATTGGTATTGCTATTCTTTGGTCTCGGGTATTTCCCGAATTATAGCTGTAAAATAATAACGTATTTACGTGTTATTTATGCCTCTGATTTAACAACAGTGTGAAACTATGGAGGCATTGAACAAGCAAGTTGGAGAAAAATAAGTAATAACATAATTCAAAGAAGTTTTAAATACATTTTTTAAAAAACTTGATCTAAATGCTGTACTCATTAAAATACCTGTTTATTTTCTTGATACGTTCATGTGAATAACCCCGGTAATTTTAGGGGTTTACCTGTTCTGATACGTTGTATCTGTGTAAGAATCTTTAGAAAATGGGAAAAAAGCCTCGTCCTTTATAGTAAGTTTGTCCTATCTTAGGATTTTTCAAAAATTAAGGCTGAAAATGAGCCTTTTGACCTATATACCCCATCGGCCTATAATCCCCAAATTACGGTATTTTCAATTTTTATGGCTTTGAGAGAGCTGTACAGTTTTTTTGACAATTTTTTAGGTCACCTGAGTAAACTCAGGTGACCTATTGCTATCCGTTTTCGTCCGTCGTCGTGCGTCGTCCGTCGTCCATCGTGTGTTAACATTTGAACATTTTCAGCTTCTTCTCTGCAACCACTGCACCAATTTCAACCAAATTTGGCACAAAGCATCTATGGCTAAAGGGGAACAAAAATTGTGAATTTCATGATCCCTGCCCCCCTGGGGCCTGAGGGGTGGGGCCAAAACCACTAAAATTAATGCAATCTTTAAAAATCTTCTTCTTTACTCCTGGACATCAAGCAGTCAAACTGTTTGCATGATTGTAATCAGCAATGAGTCCTCTACCAAAATTGTGAAATTCATGGCCCTGGGGTCAGGGGTTCTAGTGCTAGGGCGGGGCTAAATAAGTATATAGTGAAAATGCATTATTCCTTTGAAAATCTTCTTCTCTGCTCCTGGGTATTAAATAAACCAACTAAGTACATAGTTATGATGAGCAATAGTGCCTCTACCAAAATTGTGAAATTTATGCCCCCAGGGTCAGGGGTTCTGGTGTTAGGGTGGGGCTCTATTGATTATATATAGTGAAAATACATGAATTCTTTGAAAATCTTCTTCTCTGCTCCTGGGTATTAAATAAACTAACCAAGTACATAGTTATGATGAGCAATAGTGCCTCTACCAAAATTGTGAAATTTATGGCCCCAGGGTCAGGGGTTCTGGTGTTAGGGTGGGGCTCTATTGATTATATATAGTGAAAATACATGAATTCTTTGAAAATCTTCTTCTCTGCTCCTGGGTATTAAATAAACTAACCAAGTACATAGTTATGATGAGCAAGAGTGTCTCAGCCAAAATTGTGAATTTTATGGCCCCAGGGTCAAGGATTCTGGTGTTGGGGGGGGCTCTATTGATTATAAATTGAAAATACATGAATTCTTTGAAAATCTTCTTCTCTGCTCCTAGGTATTAAATAAACTAACTGAGTGCCAAGAGTGCCTCAACAAAAATTGTGAATTTTATGGTCCCAGGGTCAGGGGTTCTGGTGTTAGGGCGGGGCTCTATAGATTATATAGTAAAAATACATGAATTCTTTGAAAATCTTCTTCTCTGCTCCTAGGTATTAAATAAACTAACTAAGTGTATAGTTATGTTGAGCAAGAGTGCTTTTACCAAAATTGTGAATTTTATGGCCCCAGGGTCAAGGGTTCTGGTGTGTGTAGGGGGGGGGGCTCTATTGATTATATAGTGAAAATACATTAATTCTTTGAAAATCTTCTCTGCTCTTAGGTATTAAATAAACTAACTAAGTGCATAGTTATGATGAGCAAGAGTGCCTCAACCAAAATTGTGAATTTTATGGCCCCAGGGTCAAGGGTTCTGGTGTTGAAGGGGGGGGGGGGGGGGGGGAGGGGCTCTATTGATTATATAGTGAAAATTCATGAATTCTTTGAAAACCTTCTTCTCTGCTCCTAGGTTTTAAATAAACTAACTAAGTGCATTGTTATGATGAGCAAGAGTGCCTCAACCAAAATTGTAAATTTTATGGTCCCAGGGTCAGGGGTTCTGGTGTTGAGGAGGGGGGGGGGGGGCTCTATAGATTATATAGTAAAAATACATGAATTCTTTGAAAATCTTCTTCTCTGCTCCTAGGTATTAAATAAACTAACTAAGTGTATAGTTATGATGAGCAAGAGTGCTTTTACCTAAATTGTGAATTTTATGGTCCCAGGGTCAGGGGTTCTGGTGTTAAGGCAGGGCTAGTTTGATTATATATTGAAAATACATGAATTCTTTGAAAATCTTCTTCTCTGCTCCTAGGAATTAAATAAACTAACTAAGTACATAGTTATGATGAGCAAGAATGCCTCTTCTAAAATTATGAATTTTATGGCCCCAGGGTCAGGGGTTCTGATGTTAGGGCGGGGCTCTATTGATTATATAGTGAAAATACATTAAATCTTTGAAAATTTTCTTCTCTGTCTCTGGGTATGAAGCAGATGAACTACCTATATAGTCATGATGAGCAAGGGCCCTAATCTTGCAGAATTGTGAATTTCAAGGACCCTGGGTCAGGGGTGGGGGAGGGGGGGGGGGCTCTACTTATATACTGAAAATGAATTAATTGTTTGAAATCTGCTCCTTTGTATTTATAAAACATTTATTTATTTTTTGATAGGCAATTTTAAGAGTGCCTTTTTAAAATTTGTGCAATGTGTGGACCTAGGGTCAGGGGTTTATGTCACAGTGTTAGGGGCACTACTCATTATTGCTGAATATTACTGATTAGTTGGAATGCATTTTTGTTCCCCTACCCTGCGTATGGGTATTTAGTAACCAAGCTAAGCAACTGCTAAGTGTACTGTTATGATGATCAATGGTGCCTCTTTCAAAATTGTGAATGCCATATATCATCTGGCTTAAGTTAAAACATGAATCAAATTCAATAACTGGAAAATTGTTGCATAATGCTCAGGTGACCTATAAGGCCCGTGGGCCTCTTGTTTCTTTTATCTGTCATCTTTCATTTGTTTTCACATTTAGCTTAATTGAAAGAACAGTGTTTAATATTACACTAAAATTTATAAAATACTTAATATTCAAATTCTTTTTTACATTATTAAAATGCAGAAGATTAAATAGATAATTTTTTCTCTCTCAAAAAATAAGATTTATTTATATTCAGGTCTGTACAACAGAGTCAGCAATAACAAAGTTGGCATCAGACTATACACCTAGTGAACTAGAATTCTTTAAGAAACTGGTAAGTATAGTGTTCATCAATAAGAGTAAATCAAAAATTGAAAAAAAAATTGCTGTAACATATAACACAGTGACATCAATCTCATCTAATATTATCAAGCAATTTTTGCTTATTTATTTACATTTATCATATCTGGAGTCAAATTAAGAATATAGCCACTAATATCTGCAGTGAACTTGACATACAGAATGGATTTTCTTTTCTGTAGCCCAAAAATGGGGAGGGGGGTCTTATTTCACATTGAACTTATGCAGTTTTGTTTCATTCATGTTTAGCTTCTCTGTTTATCACTGTATGTGCAGATACATGAAAAATTTTAACTGGCTACAAAATCTTGATCCATATTATTTTTGCCAATGCTCTGCAATCTTACCAATCTGCTATCTTGTTTTAAAACTTGACAAATTAAATCCATACAAATGCATGTAATCACTCACTTCTTGGATGATGGAAATAAATTCTTCCCTTGAATCCTTTGTGTTTTAATCAATACTGAGTTTTATAAACAAACATGTTTAACACAATACCTTGTCAAATTTTGTCTTTAGATTGAAATTATTGTGGCATCTGAAGATGCAGAAGTAGGGTCAACAGAAGCCTTAAATCTAGTCAGTCGTCTGGAAAATGTCAAAAAGCTCTCCAAAGATGATGCTGAGGACCTGCTTTCTCGACTGGAAACAAATAAATGGATAAAAATGGTTTGTTTTGATTATGGTTCAAAGTGTACACAGTTTACTATAAGCATTTGATTGTATTCTTGTTGATATTTTTACAGTATTAATTTGCCCTTTAACAGTCATCATGAGTAAAAAGAAAATTTAAATTGAGTTTAAATTGGGCTTCTCAAGGAGATTGTAGCCACAAATAATATATTAATTTCAGTCCCGGGGAAAGATAAGTCTAGCCACCAGATCCCTTCTTGAACTGGACCGGTATATAGAACAGATGTACGAGGACGTGGAGAAGTGCAATATTTGTAAGAAACTCTGTCTGAAGGTGAGTCTGCAAAAATATTAAACTGAAGATTTTGTATTCTGTGAAATGTTGTTGCCTAGAAAACTTAATAAACTTTTCATTTTCTTAAAAAATTCTTATAAAATTTTTCTTTCATATTTTAGGGACAAACCTGTCCATTCTGTGGTACAAAACTTCATTTCCACTGTTCAAGCAAGTTGTTTGAGAGAGAAGAAAATCCTAAATGTCCCAAACAGAGCTGTAAAAAACCCTGGCCACATGAAATCAGAAGGACCCCCAGGAGTCCAAGAAAAGGTTTTAAAAAGATATTCAGTTAAATTAAGATTTCAAAATAAATATGTAACTAATTATAAACCTGTCTTAAAATGGTATGTATAATGGTATGGTGTTTTTGTCCATACATCAGTCTGTCAGTCTGTCCATTTGTTAGCTTTAAATATCACTGATTTTTTTTCCAGTGGTATAGGAGGAGTTGAGAATAAGAGATGGGTACCCTTCAATATTATAGAAAGAATGGCAGTGTTCATGTTTTGCTATGGGAAACCCAAAATATGTGTTGAATCAAAAAGTATAATAGGAGGTGCACAATGGCATTATGGAACAAAAAATCTATAAAAGTCCCATTAAATTTTATTCAGTGGTATAAGAGGAGTTGCTGATAAGAGATGGGTACCCCAAAGCATAATAGGTGGACGGACGCACAGACAGAGGGGCATCCCAATTACTATTTACTCTCCCACTTTTCAATGGGGGGGGGGGGGGGGGGATAATGGGACGTTACGGCTTTTTTTGGCAAAAACCAGTCTGGATTCATAGACCTAGAATCACCAAACCTTAGTCAATTTCTACATCTTACATAAATGTCACTGTGACCTTAAATTTAATTCCTTTAAACCAACTTTAAATGATGACAATTTTTAGGTCACCTGAGTCACTCAGGTGACCTATTGCTATCCGTTTTCATCCGTCGTCGTCGGTCATGTGTTAACATTTGAACATTTTCAACTTCCTCTCTGAAACCGCTCAGCCAATTTCAACCAAATTTGGTATACAGCATCTGTGGGTGAAGACTCATTAGAGGAACAAAAATTGTGAATTTAGTGGTCCCTGCCCCCCTGGGGCCTGGGGGATGGGGCCAAAACCACTAAAATTAATGAAATCTTTAAAAATCTTCTTCTGTACTCCTGGACATCAAGCAGTCAAACTGTTGGTATGAATGTAATGAGCATTGAGTCCTCTACCAAAATTATGAAATTTATGGCCCCAGGGTCAGGGGTTCTAGTGCTAGGGCGGGGCTATATAGATTATATAGTAAAAATGCATTAATTCTTAAAAAATCTTCTTCTCTGCTCCTGGGTATTGAATAAACTAACAAGTACATAGTTATGATGAGTAAGAGTGCATCTTTCAAAATTGTGAATGTTATGGCCCCAGGGTTGGGGGTTCTGGTGTTAGGGCGGGGCTCTATTGATTATATAGTGAAAATGCATTAATTCCTTGAAAATCTTCTTCTCTGCTCCTGGGTATTAAATAAACTAACTTAGTATATAGTTATAATGAGCAAGAGTGCTTCAACCAAATTAGTGAATTTCGTGGCCCCTGTGTCAGGGGTTTTGTCATTTGGTGTAAAGGGGGGGGGGCTCTTTTGATTACACAGTGAAAATACATTAAATCTTTGATAATCTTTTCCTTTGCTCCAGGGTATTATGTCAATGATCTAAGTTTATATATTTATGATGAAAAAAAGGTGCACGTAGCAAAATGGTTTATTTCAAGCCCCCTTGGTCAGAAGTATTGGGGGGGGGGGGGGGTTACATATTCTGAAAATAAATTAGTGATTCACCATTTATGAAGAAATAAAATTTATGATAAAATTTCCAAAATTTTGAATTAAGTGGCCCCAGGGTCAGTGGTTCCTTTGGGGTGGGGTGCCGAACCAAATTGAATTGTTCGAAAGTTGTTACATGATACTTAGGTGACCTATAAGGCCCGTGGGCCTCTTGTTACCGATGCAGACACTTTTCACTTTGCAGACACCCTATTAAAAAATGTTTTGCCAAGAAAATACACATTATCTGATGATATAATGTGTTTAGTGGAAGAATTTTATGTTAATCATTTCTGATAGAACATATCTGACCAAGAAGGTGTCAATAAGGAACTTGCCATAGAAATATACCCTCTTATTTGCAATTGATAATATCAATCATATTAAAATTCTTCTTGATTGTTGCTAACCTTTATTTTAAAATGAATTTTGTATAAAGATATTGAAACTTATCCAAAAAAAATTTCGAAATACAAATGTATTTCGGTTAATCTGTGTTCTACTTCCCATGTTTTACTGTTATACAATTTTCTTTTTTCCCATTCCAGAAGAGGTTTTGTACTCAAGAACACCAGAAAAGAGCCAAAGAAAAAGAAAAGCTGATACAAGTTGAAAATTGAAATGGTTCATGGCTCGTGCATTTTGATTGCAGACACATTGTGTAATGATAAACTTTGGAGGCAGCAGTTGATAGTTTTGATATCTGATGAACTTTGGTTTTAGTGCTGTTCTTTTACTCTGGTTAACTTTTACTTTGTGAAATGTCATTTTGCAATTAACTGTTGGTATCTCTTTGAGTGATTATAAACCATGCAAAATCAGAGATTGGAGAGGTTTCGCAGACCGAACATGTATGTGCATGGGAAAAGTTACTGAAGTCAGAAATACAAGTATGCTGTGTGTACTTGGAAATGCTTTAAATATTTATTCACTTACAATTTTATTTACATCATTATATTTCCATGATTTTATGCAACATTTTATAAAAAATAATTTGAACACTAAATATAATATTTTGCCATTAAAAACATGAAGATACCTTTACATGTATCAGTACTTACTCTAAATCTTGTAGAAAAATGCACACTTTAATTGAAATAAACAGAACATAAAATATATATGCTACAAGTTTGCTGTTATCATTTTCTCAAGTGTAATGTTTTAATGCACATATTTTACCTGCTACAAGTACACATATACTTTGGTTTGCAAAATCTCTCGATTAACTTTTTAATGATTATGAAATTTTTTAAACTCTTTAAATACCATTAATCCACTGAGAAGAGAATTTGATTGAAATAAACGAACAACTAAAGTAAAAAAAAAGTTGATGTATTCTTTTATCCAAATACTGTAGATCACTAAATTTTCGCAAAACCTTATTTTTGTGAGATTGTCATTGACTCTCTCTAAGCGAGATTAAATTTTCACAATTTGTGGTTGTTAATCTGTATCACCTTTAATAATACATATATATGCGAGAATCATGTCTTCGGGAGCACACTCTCGCATAATTTTGTGAAAATAAAGCTCTCACAAATAAATAGTGATTTACAGTACAAAAGTCATGTTTATTTACATGAAGGACATTGTCTTTCCATTCTATTACTGCTCCTTTAGATAGAAAATTACAAATTCAGAGCTTGAAAATGTACTCGATATAATTACAAAGGGGTATCGGTTTCACATAGGTCAGAGATCATGTGAGTTAATCTCCATGAAGCTTTTCTTTTCCAATGCAACTGAATAAAGGCCAACATCATGCCATGCTTAAAAGTATTGGAATGGGGAAATTTATTTGTTGTATAAAAGTTTAAAATATTGTCTTTTATGCATAACAAAAACTAGCGATACTCTGAGCATTGAGATTACTAAATGATACCCCACCTTCCATATGATTATAATGGCAAAGTCCATGTTTTGCTCTGGGAGACTGAAATAAGTGTCAGATCAAAAAGGAAAGTAGGAGGTGCACAATGGCATTATGTAATGAAGAATCTTTGAAAATATTAAATTTTATTCAGTGGTATAGAAGGAGTTGCGGAGAAGAGATAGGTACCCTTCAGTATTATAGAAAAAAATGGCATTGTCCATGTTTTACCATGGGCAACCCAAAATATGTGTCAGATCAAAATATCAAATAGAAGGTGCACAATGGCACTATGTAACAAAAAGATTCTTTGATGAAAGTTTCATTAAATTTCAGCGGAATAGGAGCTGCGGATAAGAGTTGGGTACATCAAAGCGTATCGGACGGACGGACGTACAGATGAACATCCCGATTACTATAGTACATACCCCCCCCCCCCCACTTTTCAATCCCAAGGGTATAATAATTAACAACAATAGTCTCACTGGCATGTGGACAATTACCTAAAATATCAAAGATTCATTTCGATATGCTTAAATCTAGTGACGATTCTTTACTCACGTCATATATACGTGACGCTTTTTAGCCAATGAACATATAAGAGTCACAAACATTTTTAGCTCACCTGAGCCAAAGGCTCAAGTGAGCTTTTCTGATCACATTTTGTCCGTCGTCCGTCCATCTGTGTGTCCGTCTGTAAACTTTTCACATTTTCGACTTCTCAAGAACCACTGGGCCAATTTTGACCAAACTTGGTACAAAGCATCCTTGGGTGAAGGGGAATTTAAACTGTTAAAATGAAGGGCCAAGTCCCATCACAAGGGGAGATAATCAAGATAAGAGAAAAATAGGGTGGGGTCATTAAAAAATCTTCTCTAGAACCACTGAGCCAGAAAAGCTTAAACTTATGTGGAAGCATCCTGGGGTAATGTAGATTCTAAATTGTTCAAATCATAACCCACTGTGGTAGGGCGGGGCGGCTATGGGGAATCAAAGTTTTACATAGAAATTTATAGGGAAAATGTTTAAAAATCTTCTCAAGAACCACTGGGCCAGAAAAGCTGAAACTTTTGTGGAAGCATTCTGGGGTAGTGCAGATTCTAAATTGTTCAAATCATGACATCTGGGGGTAGGGCGGGACCGCTATGGGGGATCAAAGTTTTACGTAGAAATATATAGGAATAATCTTTGAAAATCTTCTTCTCAAGAACCACTGGGCCAGAAGAGCTGAAACCTATGTGAAAGCATCCTGGGGTAGTATAGATTCTAAATTGTTCAAATCATGACCCCAAGGGGTAGGGCGGGGCTGCTATGGGGAATCAAAGTTTTACATAGAAATATATAGGAAAAATCTTTAAAAATCTTCTTCTCAAGAACCACTGGGCCAGAAGAGCTGAAACCTATGTGGGAGCATCTTGGGGTAGTATAGATTCTAAATTGTTCAAATCATGACCCCAAGGGGTAGGGTGGGGCCACCATGGGGAATCAAAGTTTTACAATGGGGAATCAAAGCATCCTGTGGTAGTGTACATTTCAAATTGTCTAAATTATATCAGTGGGGTAGGGTGGGGTCACAATATGTATTACAAAGGGGAAATCTGGTAAAGAACAGAATGGTCGAAGCTTCTCAGGTGAGCGATGTGGCCCATGGGCCTCTTGTTCTTACGAAAAATAACCCAATATCTAATTACTAGGGGATAATTTCTTAATAAGAAAAATGTCTAACATCAGGTGCCTGTAATATGAAGAGAAAAGGTTAAGATAACATCTAACCCCCACCCTTAAGTCCAAACTCCGGATAAGGAGCTTAAAATTATGATTAAAGTTGAGGGTACAATAGAATGACTAAAAGGACTAGTACCACCTATCCCAACTTATAAAGAAAACTAAAGGTACTGTGAGCAATGACCTTACTAAATGATACCCCCTCCTCCCATGTGAATATGATGGCATTGTACATGTTTTTCCTACGAGAAACCCAAAATATGAGTCGGATCAAAAAGCAAAATAGAAGTTGCACAATGGCAATATGTAATAAAGACTCTGTGAAAGTGTAATCAAATTTCATTCAATGGTATGAGATGAATTGCGGATAAGAGATGGGTACCCCAAAGCGTAACAGACGGACGGACATCCCGATGACTATATATCCTCCCGTTTTTCTAGCGGGTGTATAACAAGATGGCTGTAGATAGAACAATTATTTTGTGGAATGCAGTACTCCCAACCTCCATCTTAAGGATTGCATTGAGATCGACAGCAACCAAAAAGAGAAAGAGCAGAAAAGACCCGTTGAAGATCGGTCGAGAAAGAAACTAGAAGTATCTTGAGCACTGAGCTCACTTAATGTTACAATGTTACACCCCCACCCCCGCCTCCCATATGATTATAATAGCAAAGACCATTTTTTGTTCTGGGAGACCCTAAATAAATGTCGGATCAAAAAGTAAAATAGAAAGTGCACAATGGCATTATGTAATAAAGAATCTTTTAAATTTTATTCAGTGGTATAGGAGGAGTTGCGGATAAGAGATGGGTACCCTTTAATATTATTGAAAAAATGGCAGTGTCCATGTTTTGCCATGGGAAACTCGAAATATGTGTCGGATCAAAAAGTAAAATAGGGGGTGCGCAATGGCACTATGTAACAAAGAAATCTGTGCAAGTCCCATTTAATTAATTTCATTTGGTGGTATAGGAGGAGTTGCGGATAAGAGACAGGTACCCGAAAGCGTAACAGACGGACGGCATTCCGATCAATATATACCCTCCCGCTTTTAAGCGGGAGGTATAACCGTTACTTCTGATGCGGAATAAATTGTTAGTAATATTTAATTTTTGCGATCTCTTAAATGCCCAAATTAAATCCTTGGCAAAATTCCTACTTAAACGTTATATACATGCAAGATATTTTATACCAATGTTTATATTGCATGAGTTTTAGGGGCTTAAACTAGGAAAAAACTGCTCACTTATATCAAACTTTTACAGAAAATTAGAGAAGTCAATCGGAGGAATTGTGTTAATTTTTGGTAAAGTCCTTACCTTGTCACAACAACAACAAAGTTAGCATAAATTTTTTTGTTATATTTTTTACTACACAAACACGGGGAATATATCATACCTAGATGACACTAATGAGGTGGCGTAGTTTTGAATCCCGTTGTAAATTAAAGAAGCCGAATGATGCTAAGATCATTAGTTTAAATACATGTACAATTCATACATTTTTAGAGAATTTAAAACTTTGAGCCTTATGTCGACATCTTCATAATTATAAAAATCCCATCATAAAACTAGAGGCACTGTGAGCAATGAGCTCACTAAATGATACCCCCGCCTCCCATATGAATATAATGGCAGAGTCCATGTTTTGCTACGGGAAACCCAAAATATGTGTCAGATCAAAAAGTGAAATAGGAGGTGCACAATGGCAATATGAATTAAAAATAATCTGAGAGTCTCATTAAATTTCATTCAGTGGTATAAGGAGTTGCGGATAAGGATGGACATCCCGATTACTATATACCCTCCCGCGTTTCAAGTGTGTGTGTGTGTGTGTGTGTGTGTGGGGGGGGGGGGTTATAACTAGAGGTACTGTGAGCAGCAATAAGCTCCCATTAATGATACCCCTCGCCTCCCTTATGGTTATAATGGCAAAGTGTGGTTTGCTCTGGGAAACCCAAAATAGGTGTCAGATCCAAAGGTAAAATAGGAGGTGCACAATGTAATGTAATCATGAATCTGTGGAAGTATAATTAAATTGTATTCAGTGATACAGGAGGAGTTGCGGATAAGAGATAGGTACCCTTCAATATTATAGAAAGAATGGCAGTGTCCAAGTTTTGCTCTAGAAAACCAAAAATATGTGTAGGATCAAAAAGTAACTGAATAGGAGGTGTACAATGGCACTATATAACAAAGATTCTTGAAAGTCTTATTAAATTCCATTCAGGGATAAAAGAGGAGTTGCGGATAAGAGTTGGGTACCACAAAGCGTAACTGACGGTCGGACAGACATCAAGATCACTTTATATACGCTCCCATTTTTCCAGGTATAAAGATACGTTCTTCCATCAAGTTTTGCCATTACCTCAGACTAAAGACACGAGAAAAAATCTTTTTCATTGGATGTATGAAGTATACATTTCGCAAAGGCTTTCTTTTATTAGTTCAGAAATGGTGCTTACCAGAAACACAATACCGTTAAGTAGTCACTGAAACGGCACAATTTATACAAGAATCAAGATTTTAGCATATCATGTATGGGCGCTGGCGTTCCTCATTGACAATATCTATGTAGTATTTGGATACCAAATTTTCCAATAATATATTGAAATTCCGATCGACAATAATAATGTTCCGTTATTTAAGACCTGTTTATATCCCCTGCGTGAAATATATATATATAGTGATCGGGATGTCTGTACGTCCTCCCGTTTGTTACGCTTTGGGGTACCCACCTCTTATCCGCAACTCCTCTTATACCACTGAAATATACCACTAATGAGACTTTCACAGATTCTTAGTAACATATTGCCATTGTGCACCCTCAGATTTTACTTTTTGATCCTACACCGGGTTTCTCATATCAAAACATGGCCACTGCCATGCTTTCTATCATATTGAAGGGTACCCATCTCTTATCCACAACTCCTCCTATACCACTGAATA